ATTACAACCTTTATTATATAAATCAGTGTTAGGAAATAATTATTTCTAACAGTCTCCCACTTGATTCATATAAGTGTGACACCTTTATTATATGAATTAACGTTAGGAATAAATTATTTCTAACAATCTCCCACTTGATTCATATAAGCGTGACTTTACAATTTTCAATCCTTAATTTGAGCTCACTTAATATGAAAATGTAAAAGTCAAAACCTTATCGAACTTTATTAACCGAATCATGGTGGTTACAGGCCTGACATAGCGTCCCGCTCCCTTCCATGTATCACAGTTAATAAGAATCCGAACCATAATAATAAGGTAAAATCTGAAAGTACCTTATTCCTTATGTCTTAAACAACACCATTGTTATCACTTCTGAATTATGCATAAATAAGTGATCAACATCAACAATAACAAAATCAAAACCTGAATAGATATCTAAGAGTATCATCAACCTAATGTTCCATCAAACATAAACCCATACATGTATGGCAGAGTTAACCTTTATACAAGGACTTTACCAGTATGCCAATCCTTCCAATATGGCCAATGAAGGTCATGGGCGCCAATCCCTTAGTCAACGGATCCGTGATCATAAGATCGGTGCCAATATGCACTATTGATACTCTTTTGATTTTGTACCTTCTCCTTAACAGACAGAAATTTCAAACCCATGTGCTTGGCACCTCTAGTATATCTGTCGTTCCTTGAGAAGAACATAGCTGCCATATTATCACAATGGATCCTCAATGGTTTGGCTATAGTGTCGACAATGCCCAAACCAGAAATGAAATTACGTAGCAATGATGATTGAATTGTAGCCTCAAAGCATGCTACAAATTCTGCCTCCATAGTGGAAGTAGCAATGACAGGCTCCTTCACACTCATCCAAGATATTGCTCCATCAGTAGGTGGAAAAATATATACGAATGTGAATTTTTGAGTATCCAAACATACAACATAGTCTGAGTCCGAATAACCTATCACCTCCAGGTTATTCGTTCTTTTATATGTGAGTATGTGGTCTTTAGTGCCTTGTAAGTATCGCAGGACCTTCTATGCAATTTTTCAGTTTATATCTTTCTAAAACTTTGTTAATGTGAGCCTTCTGGATGAACCTAAAATCCCATGTGATCTATAATGAAATATTTCTATTCCAAAGTTCTTAGAAAGATATTATTTAACATCACACAATATCCTTTTATCATTAACAGCTAGAAGAATGTCGTCAACATATAGTACCAGGATTACAAACTTGCTTCCATTAACCTTCATGTAGATACACCGATCAACAGTGATCTCTACAAAACCAGATGATAATTTCAAATACCATTGTCTAGAAGCATGTTTTAATCCATAGATCGACTTCTTAAATCTACATACCAGATTTTCCTTTTCTGTGGCAATGAAGCCTTGCTGCTAATCCATGTACACTTCCTCTTTTAATTTACCATTCAGAAAGGCAATTTTTACAACCATTTGGTGGAGCTCAAGATCAGAATAAGCCACCAAAGCCAAAATAATTCTCAAGGAGAATTATTATCCTGTATGGCTTGGTTAAACGAGACTGGATCATTAACAATGCTCAAGTCACTTTCATGCTCAAGTACATAAACAATATAGTCATCAAGGAATGGCTGATCTTTTCTGTCTAGTAGATCTCCTTAATGCCACTTCCTGCTGAGGTTGCACTTGATCATCAACTTGAGTTTCAACCTCATCTTCATTTACAATTTGCTTCCTCATGTGGAATTGGAGCATCTAATTGCTGTTGCTCCAAAGTATTTCCATAAGGCTGCACGCAGCAATCAGAACTACAACAAAAAAAGGATCACTTGATGAATCTGGATCCATCAATGACTCCTTAATCATTATGAGCTCCCACACTCCCACGGGCTTTGCCATTTGTTGTGAAGCAAGCATTACCAGACTCAACAATCCTCGTACTATGATTAGGACAATTAAACCTGTACCCTTTAGACCATTTTGGATATCCAATGAAATAACCACTAATGGTTCTGGAATTCAATTTATTTTCATGTGGATTATATATCCTTACTTCAGCTTGATAACCCCAAATGTGAAGATGCCTCATGCCTCAAACTAGGTTTCCTTCTTGTCCACAGTTTATAAAGTGTTTTAGAAACATCCTTACTAGGAACCCTATTGAGTAAGTATGTTGTTGTCCTTAATGCATATATCCACAATGAAACAGGCAATATACAGTTTATTGACCATACTCCTAACCATTTTCCTTAGAGTACGATTTTGCCTTTCTTCCACACCATTTTGTTGTGGTGTGCCTGACATTTGTGTATTGTACACAAATGCCCTTAAATTCGAGGAATTTCTTAAATGGATCGGGAATTGAATTTGACCAACTTATGAAGTTTTCCCAAAATACTCACCACATCTACCTACTCTAATTGTCATTACCTGTCTATTTAACTGCCTCTCAACTTCAAATATGAATATCTCTAGGACATCCATAGACTGAGATCTTTCATGCACCAAATAGCTGTAACAGTACCCAGAATGATCATCAATAAAGGAAATAAAGTATTTCTCTCCGTCCCAAGACGGGACATCAAAAGGATCACAGATATCTGTATGTATTAAAGCAAGTAATCCTGAGCTTCTTATGGCTGAGTGTACTGGTACATGTCTAACTTGCTTTTACCTTTATGCAATCGACACATGCATCATTCCAGTCAGTAAAATTCAATTGACACAAAATTCCAACCTTAATAAGTCTCAATATCCTTTCTTTGGATATATGACTAAGCCTTTTATGCCACAAGAGAACTGAAGATTCATTTGGTGCACACCTTTTAACACGAACATCACTCATATCATTAAGCAAGGAATTAACAAAGTCAGCATTAAGATTGAAGCAGTATAGTGCATCCAACAAAACACCAAAACCACAAAGGGTTTTTTGTTGATACGAACATTTGTCTCCAATATTAAAGTAAAACCCAATGTATCCAACCTAGCTGTTGAAACAAGATTTCTAGAACAATTTGGAACATACAGACAATTCTCAAGATCAAGGCAAAAACTTGTATCTAGCTTAATTTTGCAAGTTCCAATACCTTCAATTCTAGCTTTCATCATGTTTCTTATGAAAAGAAACTTTTTCATTTTCCACTTGAGGTTGAAACATTAGAACATTGCATAATGTTAGAAATGTGTGTTGTAGCACCAGTGTCTAACCACCAAGTAATAGAAGGAACCTCAATAAGATTGAATTCAAAGCATACTAAAACTGAATGTATACTTTTCTTTTCCATCCAAGCTATCATCTTCAGGCATTCAGCTTTCTTGTGCCTAGATTTGTTTCAGAAATAGAATTTATGCGCTTTCTGAATAACACCTTGCACCTTCATAGGATGTTTGACCTTTTTTTTTTTTTTTTTTTTTTTTTTTTTTTTTTTTTTTTTTTTTTAAACTTTGTTGCTATTACTACTGACATCAAAATTGTCACCATTATAGCATGATACGATAGTGTTCACTGCAAACATTTATCTCACATATCAATTACTTTGAGTAACAAACCTTTATTCATACTATAATTTATAGACATTAAGTTTGCATTTAGATCTGCCTTTGTGTCAAATTTAAATACAATGTCAATTTACCGACATGCATCATTCACACATACTTGAATGAGACTATTCATCAAGTTTCAATTTAATATATAGGTAATCTTTTGACATGCGCTACATATTAACAAAACAAGAATCATAATATCCTAAATTGTCATTAATCACATGTCTGATCCACCTTTGGGCGACCGCTAGAACCATGTGTTAATGATCACAAATGTTTATTAATCATTTAGTGTCATTCAATGATGCAAAATACATGTGTACGATAAACATTTGTAAGCATAATAATTACTTAGCAATATTCTTGAGTGGGCCACTTTGGTGTCTAACGCACTCGACTTATGCTAATAATTTATTGATGTGAATAAACATTAATTTATGTTTAAACATAAACATATATGATTATTTTAGCTATTATCATGAGTGGGCCATTTTGGCGACTAACACACCCACCTTATGCTATTAAAACATTTATGTAAGTAAACCTTAATTTATATATATGTTGTAAACATAAACATAAATGATTATTTATCTATTACTTTGAGTGGGCCGCTTTGGTGACTAACACACTCACTTTATGCTAATAATTCATTTATAAACATATATATAAATTAATAGTGGATATAACCTCTAGCCTTAATTGATCCCAAATGAGCCTATAATTTAAAGCAACCCCTTAACGCCTTAAATAAACCAAATAGGCGGAAATATTACCCAAAATTAAATGAGCCTAGAATTTAAAGCAACTCCATAATACCTTAAATAACTCAAATAGACTCAATTTAATTTGCCCAACAAAACAATCCATCAACAAGGTCACCTGCAACCGTTATGCAACCACTGTCCGCCACCTCTTTGCCCCATCGCCAGCATCGCTCCACCGAGAAGCCAGTTGATTCGAGTAGGTTTGATTTCACAATTACAAATATATATATATATATATATATATATATATATATATATATATATATATATATATATATATATATATATATACACACACACACACACACACACACACTAGTACAAAACAGGGTATAGGAGACTGACATTTAGCTACTGTTGTTAAAAAACAACAGTATATTCTTAATTAAAAAATTCGCGGTGATAATTTCGTAATAATTGATAGATAATCCGCGACTGTTCTTAGCTATAATGGATGCGGATTTAAAAATTAAAATAACACTTTAAGATTCCGTTGCCGTTTCTAGTTGAAACAGTGACGGAATAGAAAAATAAAACTTCACCGTTTCCACCGTTTCCCTTTGAAACGGTGGCGGAAAGTATTTTTAAAAAAATTAATTACAATTCTTTTTTATTTCACCACTGTTTCTTCTAGAAACTGAATCAAAGTATCAATCTAAAACCCTACACTACTCCTTATCGAACAAACAAATCTAACGACAAAATTAAACAAATGTGTTGACTGTTGAGCGTTGCCCCGTCGAAGAAGACGCTCCCACATTTACGCCGAACACACACCCATCTTCAACGACGAATGCCGCCATAGCCGCCGAAAGCCCTTTCCTCCCCCACAACTGCCGACGCAAAAGCCATCTCCACAGCCCGTCACTGCCTCCGCCCACCACAGCCACCGTCACTATCTCCGCCCACCACAGCCACCGTCACTGCCTCCATCACAGGTTTGATCTTCATTTATTTATTTATTTTTAATTTTTAATTTTTAATTTTATTAGGTTTAGGGTTTAGAAACGACTACGGTCTCTGCTTCTCTTTCACCGTAAGCAGCGGGGCCACCGAGTCTCCCGGTCAAGGAGTTGATGCCAATCATTTTCATCTTCAGAAATGACTAAGGTCTCTGCCCCTCCTTCACTAAATTTTGTGAAATGAACATTTTATTTCCTAGCGCTGGTGTTTTTATCATTTCTGCTTTGAATTCCTAGCAGTTACAGATGCACAATTGCACATACATACAACTTTTGGATACATTTACTCATTAGACATGAAGACATCTAATAGAGTCTAGAACAGTTAGTGTTGATAAGGTTGATTAGCTATTAATTCAAGTCTAGAATACAATTAGTTACTTTAGATAGACCAGTTTACTTCATTACAGAGTAATAATTATTGACATTTTTCTGTTTGATTTTGGACTATTAACTAAAATGTTTAGTTGTATGCACAATCAAACTTATGAATTTATTTGATCTCTCTGCACACAAATGTGATTTGGAAGTGAAGAGTTTATGTTGACATGTCCTTGCAATGTAATGAAATTTGATTACTTGTGGCATGCGTTTCTTATATTTGCTTAGCATATTGTTTTAAAGTAGTTCCTAGGTGCTTGGTTGTAGACTTGTAGTTCAATGTGATAGATAATAAACTTGTCTTGATTTATGTTGAGGCATTTGATTGAAAAAAGAAGAAGTTCTCAATGGCCTTTCATCCTTGCCTTTAAGGTTTTCCGCATTACCTATCTTTTTTCTTTGCTGAGGAGTATAAGAAAATACAGATGGCAGTTTAGAATTAGTGAAGGCATGCAGGGCTTTTATTAACTGTTAAATTCATGTCTCTTCTAATATCTAACTTTAAATCCAGTTGGATTAACTGTACATTGCACCACTCTTTTTTCTTGCAGTCCTCCACTATTTTTTCTTGCAGTCCTTACCATAACCCTTTTGGCCTATAAATCTATAACATTAAATATGCCCGGAAAGGGACATGGTTAAATTTAGTATGACAGAACTGGCATGATATGTATTGTTTATCCCCACAATTAGCTTATGTAGGAACATATTTCACTTTAAAATAACTTTATTGTCATATGAAAATATCAGTTGGAAAAACATCCAACCCTGTGCTTTCGCAGTCGGTTGAGTCTCTCAGGATCCCGTCAACTTCGCCTTGCTATTTTGACTGGAAACTGAGGTGAGTAAACTTTTACCGGAGTTGCTTGTTTGTTAATTGTCTGCTATTTTCATTTCTTGAAGCATGCACATCATCCTAAGGGAATCTACTGTCTACCATTGAAGAGGGAGAGTTGTGCCTCACGACTTGCGCCCGCCTGGACGTAAATCTACTTTTTTTTTTTTTTTTTTTTTTTTTTTTTAATTTTCAGATTTTTTTCTCCCCTCCCATTTTCTCTTTCCTAGTCACACATGTAAAAACTCTTCAAAAACCTCACACTATTGAGGATGCTCTAATGCCTTAGTTTTTTGTGGGGCCCATATGGAATTAAAAAGCAACGCAGACAGTGCGTCTAGCGCACTGCCGTGCACGCGCCATACCTGGGTGCGCGCATTAAGCAATGTTTTTTTTTTTTCCGCCCTGTTTCTGTATGTGTTTTCCTTACTTTGAATTCTGTTGCTTTGGTATTTGAAGGAAGAGTAATTATTTCTTGATTGCAGCCATTTGTGTTTAATTTTGGTTTAAGAGTGAATGAGGCTTTGAGGCTCTGAGATATGACCATCTGTATGGGATGTTTATATATAGGGAGAGATTTGAAGTGAGGGTCAATGATTTGATTAGATTTGGTTTTGCAGAAGCATTGTGCATCTCAATTGGCTGATGTTTAAGACTTTATGTGATTTGTATGTATACACATCTTATTTGATTGCAAATTCCAGGTTGCATCAAATCAATTTCATCCAAATAACAACCAACTAAAAACACAAACCATCCCTGTTTGGATTTATTTCTTTGAACAATAAGCAAAGCAGAAATGCTAAAGAACTGGTGCAATTATTTTCATTAAAAAGAAAATCAGCATTAAGTACATGACAATCCATTTCTATTATGCATTTAGTTAGTCCATTGTGCTTTGGCAGATGACTCTCTTTCCTTCTATAAAAGTTTTCAAATGAACATTATTTTATTAGTAAATGATTACGGTTCTGCAGGACTTGATCACCAAGCCAAGATATCTTGTTACATTTACAATTGGCTATGAATGGAAATAAAATATTGATGCTGCAGTGAAGAAGGTTTGTCTAAATTCTTACCCTCTTGCCCTAGACTAAATATTGTTAGTCTCTTGTCTATTTCCTATTAATTCTTACTCTCTTGCCCTAGACTAATGAGGTTCTTTAATTACAAATTAGGTTCTTTGATGAATTAGGTAGCTTGACAAATTAGGTATTTTATTAGTCAGGTATATATATTGAATTTGCTTATGAGTTATGTATACTTCGATGATACATTAGGTATTTGATTACGAATTAGGTAATTTGATTTCAATTCAAATCACCTAATATCGTTTATATTTACGTCCATCATTGCGTATCCATATCTCCATAGTACTTAGAGTAGCATTTTATGAATTTACAGATATGGATCGGAGTTGGATGTATGAAAAACGCACTACATTCAAATATATTCAAGGGGTTCAAGAGTTTATACGATATGCTGAAGAAAATAGGAGTAAAAAGGCGGAAGACTTTATTGTCTGTCCGTGTTGCGATTGTAATAATTTTAAAAGATATCGTAGTTCCGATGAAGTGATGGATCATTTGATTCGCCGTGGTTTTAAGGAAGGGTACAAAAGATGGATATGGCATGGTGAAAGCTAACTTCCTAGTACAAGTGCAAGTAAGGAAACTCATGCACAAAGTGAAACTCAAGCAAATTGTCAAACTCAGGAAGATAATAAGAAGAATAATACATCTCATGTTAGCAATGATGAGGATGATGAAGATAATGACCGAATAGATGAAATGATGCGTGATGTACAAGAAGATTTTAGTGAAATGTGACACCCCAAAAATCCACATTCAATCCATGGATTAATTGAGTAATTAATCCTATTTTATTTGAAGAATGAATTCCTAAAATCCTGATTTTTAATACTCAAGGACTAGTATTTGACTAATCAACCTTAAAGTTGTGTTGTACCTTGAGCTTTGAGGGGAGTTCCCTTGTTCCTTACACTTTCTAAGGGTTAGTAAGGGTATTCTTGACTTTTCACCAAGAGTTAGTATTGTAACCTAACCTAGAAGACTTCTTCATTTCATTCCCTACAATTCTTAGAAATTAGCTCTACCTTCTCTCTAGAAAAGAAGTGTAGCTTATTCTCCAAGCCAAGTTGAGACCCTTGTCAAGATTCCAAGATTTGCTTCCAAGATTCAACCTTTCACCTATTTGGGCATCTAGGAGGGTAAGATCTAAGTTCATCTTTTGTTTTTGGTTGCATCTTAGTTGTCTTTTTCTTAAAGGTAGGATCTTTATGATCTTTTGGTTTGATCTTGAAATGGGCTTGGAAAGTAAGCCTTGTGGGGAGCTTGTTGTGGTGTAAAGTGAAGTCTTTTGGTTTACAAGAGGTAACCCATGCTCTACAAAACCTATTTTGCTTACCTATATGTGATTTCTTGTATTCTACATGTGTTTTGCTATGAAATGTGAGGGTTTATGCATTTGTCTTGTGATATTGCATATCTAGAGCTTGTGTTTAGGGTTCCTTTGTTCCATTGCTTGGCATTTTCCATGATTCAAGTCATTTTGTTGTGTTGGGTGAGATTTGGCATGTTTTAGACTTGAATTTGTGTTTGGAGAAGAAAATCCTCGAAGGGATCTTTTTGCATAGGAGTATGTACCCGCGGGCTGAACGGCGGGGAGAGCCCTACCCGCCGGTACATAGGCTTGTGGGTAGTGTACCCGCGGGCGGAACCACGGGTAGGGGCCTACCCGTGGGTCCATCCGCGGGGAACACTGTGGTGTTTGTTCGGGATCTGTTCCCCGTGATCCGTTTGACTCGGTATTTGATATTTTGACTTCCCGTTGTTCTTTTGTGGAACTATTTGAGCGTCTTCTTGATGTTCCGTATGTCTAGAACTATATGGTAGGTATCCATGTAGGACTTTGGTGTCTTGAATCGTGCTAAGTGTTCAACATTGTGTTTCGTTGGACCGAGAGGTGTCTTGTGTGTTCCTCGGAACTATCTTGAGTTTCCCCGTTGATAAGCATACTAGTTTGTTGTCTTCATGCTAGCGTGTGTGTTGTTTGTACCTTCCGTTTGGTTGATGATAACTTGTGTTATTCATCGTTGATGTTGTTGGGCTGTGACCCGTTCCTTGATTGAGTATGTTTCATACGTTCGTTGTGATCCGTTGCTTGACTCTTGTTGAGTTGTGGTGTGTGTGTGGCTTTACTTGGATTGCATGATTAGTGGTATGGGACACTAGTCACCAAGGTATTGCAGCGGTCCTCGTGGTGGCCGTGACGTGATTATGGAGTTGTGGCCTTTGTGTAAGGTTCACGTTTTTGGGGGATAACATGTGTTATCCGGGCATGTGTTGCCGTGTACGGTACCTTGTGTACTATGAATTGGTGGTCTCGTTGGTGGTCGTTGGTGGGGGACGACGGTCCCGGGGGAATAAGGTTGGACTAAGAAGTACAGGGGTCCTGGAGGTAATGGTTGGAAGAAGATATAAGGTTGGGGGTAGCCATAAGGTTGGAACAGGGCATAAGAAAGGCATACCAACTCGTGATGGGTGATGTTGCGAGGGCTTGTAAAGCCGACGTTGAGTGTTCTTCTCTCGTGATGTGTGTAGTCACGGAGGCATGTGTTGCTTTGGCATGTGTTGCCGTTGGGTGAGTCTTTATCCTTCGCGTTGTGGTTAGCCTTTGTGATTTGGGATGTGTTCCCGTGTTATCTTTGAGAGTGATGAGTCTTGTGTTGACTGTTGATCTTGGCTTTTGACTTATATATATGTATCCGTTTCAAAAATGGTTTTACACCTTATATCTATCTATGTATGATATTTCACATGTATTGGTGGGTTACCAACATTTATCGCTGACCGGGCGTCGTCCCAATGTTTATCTTTGTATCTTTCAAGTGATGTTTAGACGAGCGCGATGTCTAGTGCCTGGTAGCTTAGTACCCTCATCCTTGTTTTGTGGCCTGTGCGCGAAAGTAGTTTAGACTGATGTTTTTGGGATAGATGTATACACTTGCAGATTGTTTGTCGTAGCGTTTACCGTGTTTGGTAGGCGTGGCGTGACACCCCGTTCGGATTTCTTTTATCCAGTTTTCGTTTTATCTTCTGCTGTGCTAGTTTTGTTGTTTAATCTGCATGTGTTAAGGCTTTTATATAGGTCTGGTTTGGGGGGTGTTACATGAATTCATGAATTTAAAAGTTTGTTTGACAATGCTGAAAAACCTTTGCTCCCTGGAAGTACTAAATTTACTAAGTTATCTAGTGTACTTAAATTATATAATTTAAAAACAAAAAATGTTAAGGTATATTCAATAACTTTATATACATATATATATATATATATATATATATATATATATATATATATATAAAATGCGCATGTTATTATTCAGGGACAGTTTGGTATTCAAGATGAGTCAAAGAAGCCAGTGGTTTTGAAAATTGCATCGGGAAGATGGAAAGACTTTAAGAGTAGATTGTTACGTGATTATGTTCACAAGAAGTACAAAAGTTATACCTCTCCTACACAACTTTATTCGTTCTTGAGTGATGAAAAATGGGCGACATTAGCAAATTGGCAAAGTAAAGAGTTTAAGGTATATTTAGCTCATTCAGTTATAAGTAAAGTGTTTTATGAATATTACCATGTTAGTCACCAAAAAAATGAATATTAACATGTTAGTGAAATCATAGGAAAAAAGTCAAAAGGCGAGGAAAATGCAGGCGTTAAATGAGCATCCACACTTCTTGGAAAGGATGATTATTCAGGTTATGCAAGAGGAGTTGGAAGTTACTCTACCATCCAAGGAGTGTTTGGTAGACCAGATCGGAAACAAAACACATCGCGTGGGATTTATACAGAAGAAGCTGTCAAACAAATGTTAAAGAAATGTAGGCAAGATACAATGACAGAGGTGGAAGCACAGATGAAACCCAAGATTGATACCATGGACCAGCAACTTAAGTTTCTGATGAAGAACATGGCAGGGACACATCTATTTTCACAAGGGGTCTTGGCTGGAACTCCTCAAAGTGATTCACCGCTTTGTGATCAATCGCCTACTTGTAGCAATTGTCATTCAGTTGACACATATCGAGTTACAACAATTAAGGTAATATTAAAAGTTATTTCTTATATCAAAATATTGTTTCTTGTTAGATTGAGATTAACACATGTTTTTTATGAATAGACTCCCAAAAGGTGTTCACTAATAGTCTGTCTATATGGCATACCTATTGTTGTTGCAAAGGGTATGGCTCACCCAACTACAGACGAGACTTTGGTGAATCGTCAACCATTGTTTCATAACTGTGTCAGAGTTTGGGTGGATGAAGTGATTGAAGGTCGAGAGCAATTTAATATCCCTATGCCAGATCAGCCGTATGTCACTATAGCAGATGTCGTTGGCAACTTTGTACAATAGCCTATGCATTTAGTGAGTTTAGATGAGGTATGCATTCTTATATTTAGTTATTAAGTTAGTTTTCGTTGTTTAAAATGTTAGTAAAATTACAATTTTATATTTGTAGAGTTCACCAAAACAAAATAAGAAACTAAAAGACCAAAGTGTTGATATATCTGCTATTGGTACATGACCTCCCTTTGTTGATGACGATGTCTTACAACACTTGGGAGACAATTGCAAGTATTTAGTGAATGCGTTGAAAAGCTTTCTATCTAATAAAGAGTATATTGAGTTGGGCTTGGATGAAAAAATCTTCCATCATAGAAACACAAGTTCTATTTTTGTGATGATGAAAGATATAAAGGATTCGATGCTGATGAATTGGCTTGACGTCTCAATCATACAAGTGTTTATATTGTAAGTAAAAAAAAATTACTCTTGTATTTTATATATATGTTTTTTATATTTATTGAAATTTCTTATTAATTATTTCTTAATTTTTAGATTTCTTAATCGATTGTGCAATCAGTTCAAAATTAGGTCAATCGGGTTTGCTTGTCCGACTCAGATTTGCAATAGTATGCTTAAACGGAACGCCACCAATGTTATATCATATTTCATTCATGTCATGGAGCAAAACAGAGATAAACAATTTATTTTAGCACCATATCATCAACAGTATGAATATTGTTCTTTTACTAATTTATTAGTATTTCAAGTATTAGGTATTAAAATTTTAATAATGTATGTGTGTTTTTCAAATGCAGATCCCATTGGTTACTTTTGGTGATTTGCATGCGCTCAAAAAGCATATGTTTCTTGTATCCCTTGCCTTCTGATCGCGATATTGGTGAAATTAAAGTTTCTATTAATTTGTAAGTAAATATCTTATTATATATATAAGTATTTTAACTTCTATTATATTATTTATAAATTTTTATGTATGTTTATAATTAATATAGGGCATTTCGCTCTATTCCTACGAATGGACGGATTAAGAATATCGATTGGAAGCCATGCAAAGTATGTATAGAAATTGAATTTAAGTTTTAATTAGTGTGATATTTTGAATTACAGTAAATTGCTTAAATTAATAACATATATATATATATATATATATATATATATATACACACACACACATATATATATATATATATATATATATATATATATATATATATATATATATATTGGATCCGGTGAGGTTAGTATTGGCAGACGAGGTCGGGTATTTTGCCTCCGATTATTTTGCCTCATTTTCTTTTTGCTGGTTTGGTTGGATATTTTCGGGTAATGGCGGGTCGGGGGGCTTCCGGTGGTTGATGGACGTTGGGGTGGGTATGTATTCGTCTGGGGGGAGGTTGGTGCGTTATAGGAGGTCGGCGTGTGCGATCAGTGTTTTTTGTTCGGAGTATTGTAAACCAAGTTAACTTGCCCAGAATAATAACTTGATATGTATTTTGGGTTCTCGTACTATGCTGGTTTGGTTTTTTTTTTTTTTTTTTTTTTTTTTTCTTGGTTTTTTGAGGGGTAAAGGCCGTGTCTGGCCAGCATGTTATTTGCGTGTCTGTGTTTTGGCGGGTAAGGACTGGGGGGGGGGGGGGGGGTTGGTTTGATTGTACTGGTGCGGTGATTGGCGGTGGGGGGATGGGGTTTTGAAAGGGGGGTGTGAGTTGGTGATTTTATTCGTGGATTTTTTTTTTTTTTTTTTTTTTTTTTTTTTTAAATGTTCTCGTGTTATTCGCGGCTGGGAGTGTGGCTTTATTTTTGTTTTTTGTTTTTTTTTTTTTGTTTTTTGTTTTTTGTTTTTTTGTTTTTTTTTTTTAATGGTTTTCTTTTACTTGTTTTCGTGCGTTTGGTGCGGTGATTTGCGAATCGGCTTCAAGTATGTGCATCTGAACTAGTTTAAATGGGGTGTGTGTTCGGGTTTTGTGCATACGTGTCGTGTGTGTTTAATTTTGCCGTGTATGCAACCCGACCTTTGTTTTTTTGTTTTCTTATTCTCTGCTGTTGGACCTTTATTTTCTTGCGTTTAGTGTCGTTGTTTGGTGTTTGGTGCAGTGTGCGTATAGTTCTTATGGTGGGTGCGACTTCCTATTGTGGTTAAAAATAGGCTTTTGTATTTCATTTTCATTTGTGGTCATTGGGTTTGGATTTGTGGGAAAACAATTTAATAGTGCAGTGTGCATTGCGTACTTATGGTGTGTGCGTCTTATGTCTGTGCATTACGGGTTATAGCATGTGCGAATTACATTGATTGTGGGGAATAATTTGTGCACTTGTTTGCTCAAGGTGTGTTGTAATTTGCGTTTTAAGTTCGTTTTCGTTATAAATACGTTTTTGTATTTCAGTTTCAGTTTGGTCACCGGGTTTGGGTCTTTGAGCTGTGTGCACTGTAGGGTTATGGTGTGTGTGTCTTTATCTCTTTTATTTATTTTGTATTAGTTCATTATGGGTTTTCGTTCAAGAGTATACATTACGGACTATGTTCAGTAGTTCATCTAGGGTTGTTCATTTGTGTTTTTGGTGTGCAGTTCGTTGTTATGGCACGTGCGAATTACTTTGGTGGTGAGTTTGTTTCATCTATTATTTTGGATTGTGGGGTGTTTGCAATGCGTCACATGGAGACGTACGTAGGCCAGTCGATTGCTTCGTGGGATTGTGGCCTGCCTAGGGGGGATGCACGTGTGTTACTCGCCTTGTGCGTGCAGTATGTTTTTGAAATTCTTATGTTTCAGAGCAATACATGTCTACAAGCGATCGTCAGCAGTGTGGGCGGTGGTCGTTGAACATCACGATACATTTCATATTTTCTGTAGCCTCACTTCAAACTTTTACATACACTTCAATTTTAAATTTGCACGTTAAATATTTTCCTTGGCCGCATTTCAAACTTTTGCAAAACATTTCACTATTAAATTTGTTAAAACATTTCGATATTACTACGCCGTGCACTCATATGTTGTACAAAATGCAGTTATTTTATCCTTTACGTTTTTATGTATTCCATTGTTAATGCAGGTTGTAAATGCGAATGTGTACGCACAGGCTATCTCATTTTTATGCACAAGCCTAGGGCAAATTCTTCACACCTTCACGTCTATATGTACGCAAAACCATCATTTAAAATCATTTTATGAAGCTGTCTCAATGGAAAAATCCTTCTAATTCGCACCAACGGACCCATAAATCGGCATGCCACATTATTCTGCTCACATTAAACTAACACTCTAAATCGCACCAACGCACCCATAAATCGGAATGCCACATTATCCAGCTCATAATAAACTAACACGTATTCGCACACTGCTCCATACGCTAACGCATGCACCTTTTTGAGCAGTTTACACATCCATTTGTGACCGTCATCCAACTCAACCTACTACACTTGCACTAACCGTGTGATTCCCACGCACAGACCACCAAAACCCAACAACACTGCCCCCTTAATTTGTTCTCCATGACTTATTACGCAGTTTTATTTGGTCGCACATGATGCACACGCATGCACAATTCGTCGTCTAATGGAGAATTTATCAATTTATAATTTTTTGCCAATCTCAATAAAGGCTAGGGCATATTTCGCCTTAAATAACATCACACCATCATCAACTCACACAACCAGCGTTTTAAAATGCAAACATTATTGGGCTACTCAATAATAACAAACTAGTGGCATAACTACTTTTGTGGGCAGCTTCGTCTATTATGGCTAGCCGCCATTCCGCACGTTTTGCAAGTCCGTTTTTTCTTAACCTGCTACATCATTGCTCCCTCCCTAGCTGATTTCAGTCGTTTGCCCGACCCTTTGTTTTTTGCCTCTGGAGGTGGGTGCACTTCTATCACCTCTGGGCCTGGAACACCGCAATACGATTCCATAATTGCATGTTTCCCAAATTCAGACGCCCCTTGTTCTTCCCTCGCCCCTAATGTCGCTTCAAACGCTTCCATCCACTATCTCATCTGTTGTAGTTTTTTTGGTCTTGCTTTAGCCATGCCTAAACATCTATGAAATATGTTTATTAGATGCCCTTCCTCACTATTTCACATATCTTTCACTCTCATTACAAATACAGTGCATAGCATTTACGTACAGTAACTTGCACATGCAACTACCCTAACTTGCACACCCTAAAACAAAATTTGTACACACTATTAAACTTTATTGGTAACGCTAGACTGAACATACAAGACATCTTGCATAGACATTATGCTAACATGCATACGCTAGAAACATATAACTATCACATAGCCTCCCCTCGTATTAAAATTGAATTGCTCATAATACAATCTATCATTAAAATTGAATTGCACGGTATTACAAAACACTTTCACATATCTTGCACTCTCATTACGAATACAGTGCATACACTTTACAGTAATTTGCACAGGCCACTAGACAAACTTGCACATGCTATTACACAAACTTGCACAACTAAAACATAATTTCCACACGCTATTAAACTATTTTGGACACGCTTGCCTAAACATGACTGATATCTTGCACAGACTGTATTCTAACATGCAAACGCTAAAAACATATAAGTAGCACATACCTTCAATAGTATTAAAATTGAAAAGGCTAAACTCAATTACCGAGAAATCTTGCACAGACATAATACGAACTTGCACAGACATAATACGAACTTGCACAGACCACATGTAGACTTCAGGAACACACACTTCAGGCCAAACGAACTTGCCTATCGCGTATTCTGATATCCCATCCAATGAAAATATATCTCCTAATGTCACACACCCATAAAACTCTCTTGAACAGGCTATATGACACCTTATGTAACTCATCAAATCCCTATCTGTTTTGTGTTTACAGCAAATTAAAAGCTAGAACTTAGTTTACCTCACACATTAAAAAAAAAAAACCCCCCAAATCACATTTCATATCAACACACATGTCGCATTGTATAGAACACATTTTCAGACCTGTGTGGTATCTATTTTACTTACTGCTAATTAAACAAACGCCATCCACATGCACTGTCTAAACACACGCCATCCACCGCACACACCATATCTTACAAACGCACTCACTCAACATAATAACTGCACATACGTAAGAATATAATCCAACTCAAATGTAGTTCACTTGCACATGCCTTTAGCCGTATCCGCCGTCACCATCGCTGGAAAGTTGAACGCGCTTCCACCTTGGTGTGCTAAATGATTTTTATATTACAGTTCTCCCCACAAAATGAATAGCGTTTGTTACTATTAGTATATATCTAATCATATTATCATTCGGATGGTATGTATCCCAATTGATTTGTAACCAAAAATAGTTTAAGAATACAATGACTAATTCACCCTTATGCTTAAAATACTACCTTAAATATATAAGAAATCTCATTCTGTAACACCCCCAAATTTAATTCTCAACACATGCTATAAATAGGCTACTATAACAGAAACTGCCATGAATAGAATTCCTGAAGTATGCATACCACCATTTAGAAACTAATTAATAATTCAACTTACAAAATAGCTTTAAGTCCTTAATAATAAATGAGGGTGAAACCGCCACATCTAATCTAACACTGACTAGATGTTAGGCTCTAAACCATAACATTCAATCACAACTTAATCCAAAAACTAAAGAAATACAATATGAATCAATAACTCCAAAACATCATAAATAAAACAGCTACTACGTTCTAAGGCGCGCTCTCAGCCAACAACTTATTCATTCACCTGCACAAATCACAAACAGGAGAAACACGAAACAATAAAATTAGCAAAACATTGCTAAGTAAGGTTTACTCCACCCTGTAAAATGGATTTAATACAATATATATTCACATTCAAAAATAATTAGCCACAAGGCTTAACTTCTCTCAACTTCAACATAACATTTACTCCACATCACAATCCACATAGAATTTTCTCAACCTAAGATTTCAAATCAACTCTTTTCCAAATTACGCGTTTCCAAAAGAAATCATTTTTAGGAAGTATAGATGAATATCAAACCAAATAATGGGCAGGGTCTTAATTACTTAAGCCCTAGTGAACAGTGATCACTCCACTGAACACTACGCAAAAATCCCATTTAAACCAACCAAATAATGGGCAGGGTCTTATTTGATAAGCCCTAGTGAACAGTACTCACTCTACTGAACACTACACAAAAATCTCATTTAAGTGGAACAGAACTAATACCTTAAGTGTGCACACCCCCAATGGGTTTCCAAGCCCAACGGGTAGTAACTAGTCCTAGTAGCCAGGATACGTTTCTACTGACTACTACTCAACAGGGTAAATACCCTAGTGGTAGACTCCGCTAACCACTCCTCAAAACAACAGGACTAAAAGTTCTAGTGAGACAGGATATGTTTCTACTGCTCACTCCTCAATTAACAGAGAGTTTTTAGACTCCCTAGTGAATCAGTATATTTCAACTGTTCACTCCTCAACAAATTGGGTAAATCCAGAATCATAGTTGGATACTATATGAGTCAAAAAAAAACCTTTTTATTCACCACATTTATAAAAAACAAGAGTAATGATATTTCACAAGCAAGCAACTTCTCAATATCTCAAATAAGAAACTGTCAAAAATTTTCAGAAACTATGACCTGAATTGCAAAATTTACTGGGAAAAATCGGTAACACATTTTCATATGAAATTTTCCAGATAAGTAGTATAAAGAGTCTAGAATACACACAAAAAGTTTCAAGCCAATCTAAGGCCTAGAAGTATTTTTACCAAAATTCTTCTCAACACAGCACCAGACTGTAATTTAACTGGCAGAACACTGCCTAAACTTTACGAAATTATTCTGGAAAAACCGAAACATATTTTTAACCAAAACTTTTTATAAACATCAAATATAACAAGTCTAGATTCTCCATAAAAAAATTCAAGAAAAAACAAATTTAGGAAACAATTTTCACGAATTTTTCTTTCCAGCTGCGCCAGTCAGAATTTTCTCAGGCAATGATCAAATTGTGTAAAAGTTATCCTTTTCAATCACCACAAAATACCATATCACATATGCCCACAAAATCACGAAGTATATATATATATTTTTACAGAGTAAAAGTAATTTTTGATAGACATAAGCACTTACCTGGATACGTAAAACAAATCACACACTTGACCCGAGTCCTACGTTTGCTCCTCTGCAAACTCTCCTTCTAAACCAAATTGAATGTCCATATAAACACAGGAAATCACATAAGCATATAATCATAGAAATTTTACCACAAACATATAATTAAACTTACGAATAGATGACACTAGATGGAAGAAAAATTGACACCCAGGAGTTCTCTTGTGTCGAAGCCGAAACTGGGAATGAAAAGAATGAGAGTGTCGACTGCGAAGATGATGATTTAGGAGGGGAAGGTGTCGTATATGCTAGGGTTTGTTTTTGTATTTCTTTTGATTCCAGTAGCAGCGTGTGTTAAGAATTAGAGAGTGAATTTAAAAAGGTTTAGGTAACTAATATCATAGAATTACATCCTGACTAGACATATATATCTCAAACTTAATCTAATAAACTAACATTAATCTAATAAACTAACATATATATATATATATATATATATATATATATATATATATATATATATATATATATATATATATATATATATATATATATATATATATATATATATATATATATATCTAACGTACTGGAGAATCACATATACATACTATAACTTAAGTTAAATTTATTTAATATAATATAAACATATTAGTTTTAGGATTTAAAAATTAATTTATTATTATCATATAAGTATTATGGGTTTAGGAATATTAATAACCATAACATAATAGTAGTAATTTTTTTTAAACAGTTTATTTATAACAAATTATAATACTCAAATAATCGGGGTATCACACATTCAATCTCAACCTTCTACATGATCTCATCCAT